ATAGATAGATAGATAGATAGATAGCTGATAGAAACAGACAGAAAAGTGACATGGATAGATACAGATACTGTAGATAGAGATGGTAGATGAGATGACAGATAGATAGATAGATAGATAGATAGATAGATAGATAGATAGGTAGATAGATAGATGGATGGATGTCCCTCACTTGATCCCCTCACCCCCCACTGGGACAATCTCTCTGCCACAGCCCCTTTGAAAAGACCCAGCTGGGCTATAGGGGCCAGGGGCCCATTCCAGTTGGCCCCTGCTTACGTTCTTATGGTTGTGGGGAAAATCCAAAGAGGAAGGAATAGTGGGTACGCTCACCAGATATTTATAACGATAATAAAGGAAAGATATAAAAACCAGCAAACAAAGGAACTGACCATGGACTTTCCGAGGGCGCTCCATTACAGCTAAGGCAACCCACTCCCCATCGTGCCAAGCGGGGGGCCTGGGCAGCGGGGGGTCTCCGCCAGTCTCCGCTCTGCTTTACCGCACTGGTTTTTTTCTAGTTGCCAAGCAACAGAAACCCCAGAATTCCATGTCCCACATCCTGGGATTTGGCCATAACTCCGAAGGATGCAGAATGTGGCGTATCTGGTCATATGTCCACGCACATATCTGCTGCATCAAGTGAGAATTTCCAATTGCAAACCCAAGATTTTGGGGAGTGTGGTTTATATGGTGAAGATTATTGAATGAATGAATGAATGAATAAGTGAATGAATGAATGACTTGTTTGTTGACTGACTGACTGACTCATTCATTCATTCTTTCTACCTTTTATCCAAACATAGGTGAATTTTATTTGAGAGGGAGGGACTTCACACATTCAGAAAACATAACTTGGAGCCAATCATCAGGACACGGGGAGTTCTAGTCCCGCCTTAGGCATGAGAGCCGGTTGGGTGACTTTGGGCCAATCACCAGGAGACAGTGAATTCTAGTCCCACCTTATCCATGAAAGCAGACTGGGTGACTTTTGGCCAATCACCAGGGGACGGTGAGTTCTAGTCCCACCTTAGGCATGAAAGCCGGCTGGGTGACTTTGGGCCAATCACCAGGAGATGGGGAGTTCTAGTCCTGCCTTAGCCATGAAAGCAGACTGGGTGACTTTGAGCCAATCACCAGGGGACGGTGAGTTCTAGTCCCGCCTTAGCCATGAAAGCAGACTGGGTGACTTTGAGCCAATCACCAGAGGACGGTGAGTTCTAGTCCCACCTTAGCCATGAAAGCAGACTGGGTGACTTTGGGCCAATCACCAGGAGACTGTGAGTTCTAGTCCCGCCTTAGGCATAAAAGCCGGCTGGGTGACTTTGGGCCAATCACCAGGAGACGGTGAGTTCTAGTCCCGCCTTAGCCATGAAAGCAGACTGGGTGACTTTGAGCCAATCACCAGGAGACGGTGAGTTCTAGTCCCGCCTTAGCCATGAAAGCAGACTGGGTGACTTTGGGCCAATCACCAGGAGACGGTGAGTTCTAGTCCCGCCTTAGGCATGAAAGCCGGCTGGGTGACTTTGGGCCAATCACCAGGAGACGTTGAGTTCTAGTCCCGCCTTAGCCATGAAAGCAGACTGGGTGACTTTGAGCCAATCACCAGGAGACAGTGAGTTCTAGTCCTGCCTCAGGCATGAAAACTGCCTGGGTGACTTTGGGCTGGTCCCGCTCTCTCCCCACCCACTTGCAGGGTGTTTGCTGTGGGGAAAATAGGAGGAGAAAGTCCGTTTGGATATGCTCACCATCTTGATTTATTGGTAAAAATAATAAATGGGGGAGGAATATAAATAAATAAAACAAACAAATAAAGAATAAACAACAAACATTGTTTTACAAAGTGCTTATTTAAGGGAACACATATTTTGCAAGCAGGCTCAGGACCACAGCTGCCCTCTTGACTTTTTTTGACCATCCGTGCCTCCTTGTACAGGCAGTCCTTGACTTACAACGGTTCACTTAGTTCGACCTTGCAATGGCACTGGGAAAAGTGACCTAGGCTATGATGACCACATTTCAGACTTACGACCATTGCTGCGTCCCCAGGGGTGGGGTGGAGTGTCACGCGATTTACATTTGCATTGACACAATCGCCCTTGCCCCATGATCGGCAGCAGACTCATAGTTACGATGGTCGCAGTGTGTGTCACGGGATTCCCCCCTCTTGCGACAAGCCTGGCCAAGTGGAGAAGCCGGATTTTGCTTAACCACCGGAACCAACGGCAGCGATCCACTTAACGGCTGTGGCAAGAAAGGTCGTAGAATGGGGCAAGGCTCGCTTAACCCACGTCGCGTGGAGCGAACGTAAGTTTGGGAGCTGCGTTGCGGTCGTAAGCCGAGGGCCGCCTGTAGTTTCCCTTCCGACTGGAGACGACTTTTAGCAAGACAAGTTGGCCTTGCGGTCTCAGAACGGCCACTAGGGGTCGACCTCCCCTTTCTAAATAAGCCTCCCCTAGTGGCTCTCGAAGGGAGTTTTCTTTTCCCTGAGCACCTGATCAAAGTAGGGTTTTTTTCAGAGCCCTCCCCAGCCCTCCCCCATTTTTCTTGGACGGGAGGCTGTTGCAGCCACACCTGATTTACTACAGGGAGCAGCCTAGGTTTCTCCTTTCCCTTCTGTGGTCCCTCTTCTCCTTCTACCTTCGTTCTCCGTTTCTTTTACTTTCTGTCTCTTATTGCCTTTCCTTCTCCCGACTATCCTTCCCTTTATTTATTTTTTTATTTTATTGATTGATTTGATTTGTCAAGCGATTATAAGGTAACCGGTATAAGTATAACCCTAGTTATGAATGCACGAAATGGGTGCATATAAGAAAAATAAAATGAAACAATAGGACAGGGACGGTAGGCACGTTGGTGGGCTTATGCACACCCCCTACAGACCTCTTAGGAAAAGGGGTGAGGTCAATAGCAGACTTTATCTTGGCTATCTTCTCCCTTGCCTTCTCCTCCTTTCTACTTCTACTTCTTCTCTTCCTTTTCTTCTTCCTCTTCCTCCTCTTCTTCCTCCTCCTCCTCCCCCTTCCCTCCTCTTCCTCTTCCTCTTCTTCTTCTTTCCCCCTTCTCTCCCTACTTCTCCTCTTTCCCTCCTT